GAAATGAAAACTTGAGTCAATGGTTGGCTGGTAAGAAAATAACTTGATATCTTCATGTAGCTTGAACAAGTTAGACAGCCTCATGGAAGTATGATGTGTTAAGAAATAACTTGCTTTTCTTCAATTAGCACTGAATTTACAAAAAGTAAGCTTAATTTACATAACTTCAAGCACAAAAAATGCAACTCTCTCTACATTCTTATGAATCTGCTCATTAGGTCCCCAGGAGGAAGCTGAGACAGGTACCAAGGTCATGGCTAGTTTGCAGCATGCCCTCTGCCAGGGTGTCATCTTTGGATGGCAGCATGGAAACTGGAATCTAAAAACATGTTGCCGTCTTTGACAGTACTACCTATGGCAGCATTGCTGGGATGGATGACATCATTTTCAGTGCGGGTTTTGCCAACCCAGCCATGGCCTCAAGTGCTTGCTTGGCTGAAGCTGTTAGATACCATGGCAGTTGTGTTGTAATATGCAACTCTTTAGTTAAGAGCTCGCTCTGACGTGCCTACGAGAGTCATGATCCAAAGGATAACTTCACTGTAGTTATATACCCTGCAGTGACCAAGCTTAGGGGATGCAGGGGGTTGTGTCTCTCCTTTCCGTCTTCCTAGAGACCTAATGAACAGATTTGTAAGAATGTAGAAGAGTTGCATTTTTGTGCTTGGAATTGTAGAACTACTGCTTGCTTTCAATACAGCTGAATGTGTTTGAGAATCTGAGGGCTTGACTACCTAGAAGAAAGCAAGTTAAAGGACAGATGATAACTGAGCACCAGGAGTCAAGGCGAATTAGAAGCACAGATGGCTTTATGCATGTATAGCCTGTCTGAAACGCTGGGAGACAGCACTGCCAGTGGCTGTTAAAAGGCAAAGAAAATTCCCACTGCTAAGCAGTATGGCCAACAGATACAGCCTTAGGTTTGAAAACTGAGTTAATAATAGTTCAGGTGTAAGAGGACTGAGCACAACATATTGAGCTATTCTGTTTCAGGAGATGCCAAAGAGAGGGCATGCTGGGTGCCATCAGAGCAGGGCAGTATGAGGCCTGTGGAGCTGAGACTTGGTGGCTACAAATGCTCCTTTAAGAACATATTAGAAGCTAAAACCTTGGGTCTGTGGCCATGAAAGCATAGCAGCCCACTCTGCAAAAATATTTCACATATTTCAGAATACATAATTCAGTGCTTTCTTTCAAAAAAGAAACTAAATCTTCCCTACATACTCATTGCTGCTACTCACTATTCATTTTGGTACACATTGGCTTTGATTGGAAAGTTAATTGGCTTTCAGTCTTTTCTTGGCAGTGGTTCTTTTTTTCCTTATTTTTGGTTAGCCCTGGAACAGCTAAAATCAACACTAATCAGCTTGTTCAGATAGAGCCACTTGGCGTAAAATTTTCCCTGACTGATCAATTTTCCCTTTCCTTCACATCCACCAAAAGCATGTTAAAATCTCTTGCCTATTCATGTGTCCAGTCTGGAAGAGTTTCTAATTAGAGAAGTTATTCTTTGTTTTGTCATGTTTTAGCTGACAATAATTTCCGTGGATTCCCTGAGACTGGAAGTCTCTGGCAGCTAGAAAGATAGCCTACTTGAAGTGTGGACCATGCAGCTGTCACTGTGGCTGTACAAGGTGTTTTATACTTATGCCCATTGGAGTCCTTGTAGGATTTGCACTGAGTCCTTATTTAACGTAAGAATTTTCTCTGATGCTATGACTCATGGTCACAAAGAAGATATGAAGGGGGTTTATTTGAGAAGGGCTTCCATGATACAGAGTGGAAAATCTGGCATGATTGTCAGACAAGACACGGGTGACTGATATGAAACACCTTTTTTTATTTTTTTCTTTCAGTGGTTGCCCATTATCACGGAGCTCCTCAATCTGCAAGTTTAATTCAATCTTTCTGTCTTGATCTTCAAGTGTCTGCCTCGTGCTCATTCACTTTTACCTTAAGTTGCAGCTGTTGTTTTGTTTGTGAGGTGGAACTTTTCATGCCCAGCCCCCCAGTGCTTCCCTGTGAGGTTTCATGATGCTCACACAAGTTCTCCAAGGAACACTCCCCCAGAAACTGTTTTAACTGTTGGTTGGTTTTTGTTTGGTTGGTTTTTTTAAACAAAAAAAACCCACCACCAAAACAAAAACAAAGCAAGGACAAACAAAAAAAAACCCAAACAAAAATTCCCCCACAAAACCAAACAAGGTTTTGCAACTTTTATTACATCACTGTTTCCAATTATAGTAACTTTCATAACAAAGTAATTACTCTAGTAATAGTATATGTATATTGTTTGTTGCCATATACTTCATTTTTTGAGATGTAACTTTAGCAGGTCTTTTGCATCTGACAGTTCTGAACCATCTGTCTAGCAAGGTAGAACTGCAAAATATTTGTCGTTTATGGTTGGGATTTTTTAGATGTATCTTCAGAAAATATGCACAAGTCGAAGGTTTGTAGAGAAAGGCATTAAATTCCAGATGATTAGATTAATAAAAATTTTATTGTATGAAATAATTTTCAGTCTTTATGTGGTACCAGGTTTTGAAAGAGCAAGTATTTTTTTAGCTTCTGTTTTGTCTAGAAGGAAGAGAGAAGAAAAAGACAGTGAAAATTTGAAGTTTCTTGTCATATGGACATTTTTTGCATTAGAGATCGCTACCATGGATATTAATTCCTAGGAAAAAGACTGCTCTTTTCCCTGTACCACCCATTTCATTCAGTGCATAGGTGTGAATTTATCAGTCCACAATCCGACTCCCTAGACTGTCAGTCAGTGAAGAGGCAGAATGAAGGAGAACAGGTCATCCTTTACTTTTAGTAGAGGAAATGAATTAGTCGCATTTATCTGCCCCGTAGTGTACCATCTCAAAGTTTTTTGTCAGCAATTTGTTGACTGCAGCCACTCTATCATCTAAGTGGGAAAGCTCATTTAATGACAATTAAATGTTACATAACTTATTGGAGATTATATGTAATACTGCATTTTACGGTCTAACCGTGCAATGCAGAGCTATTCTCCATGTAAAACACGTTACACATTAACTACTGTTTGGATACAGAAGGTGGAGTATGCTCTCTCTGGTTTCTATTGGGTGTGTGGCTGTTGAAGATAAACATGTTCTGGTAGTTAATGCCATAAAGCAAACACCCATGAGTACAGTAATTGTAGGGCATCAAATCTCTTTTCCCTAGATCTGTGAATTCTTCACATTCTGCTGTTTCTCCTTTTATTGCTTTGCAGGGCTTTCTCCTCCCTCATTTAAGCAGAATCTGTTTAAAATTTGTTCTGCTTTGGTTTGACTTCTGTTAACAAGTGCTGATATTACTCCATATGGGAAAATATGTTATGGATACTTTTGTTCAGTTTATAGTAACTGTTGTACAAGTAAAGACGATGGTTTCTTAGCAATGTACTGTTTTAAGAAACCATTGTATTCTCATCTGCTTTCAATAGAATGTTGAACTTTGGTTAAAAGTGTCTACTATCCACCTCCTGCCCCTCCAAAATAATGAAACAGTATCTTACAATGATAATTTAATGTTTAAGTTTTTATGCAGCTTATTTTAATGGAGCTCCTAATGCTGCTCCTGAAATTTGATAAGATTGAATTTCTGTGCTTCTGCTTTGTTAGTAAAAAACCCCCCAAACCACACCAAACCCCCAAAATTCAACTTGAATAAAATTTGCTACCTACACTTAAGCTTGCATGACCTTCTTGGAAAAAATAGAGATGTAACACTTCATCTTGTCTATTGGTGGACAGATTTTAGACAGCTTAGAAGCCTGAACAGGAGTTCTACATGTTATATTTGATGCTGCTTTTGTGCAGAAGACCAAACAAAAGGAACTGAACGATTAAATTTGTGAATTTTGCTACATTTTGGGATGATGTGGAAATGCCTAATATGTTAGAGCTTTAAAAAATAAAAATTGAAAAAAGAAATTCTTAAAGGTGTATGAGGGGCAGCAGTCACAAAAGTAGATCCTTGTATAAAACTGTAGCTTCAGTCTTGTGCTCAGATTTATGGTTGTCTCTTATGTTTTTAGCCAAGGGGTGTTTTTGCTCAAGAACTTAAACACTTCCTTTCTCAAGTAACACAACGGGATTTACATGAAAAAGTTGTTTCTTATTGCTCCTTCCTCCTACCCACCAAGCTTTGGTTTTAGCTCCACCAAAGGAAGCACTATAAAGCAAAAACTATAAAACAAAGCTACCTCTAAGCTTTGCTTTTCTAGTGCTGAAGAACTGGGTATCTAAATTTTTGCCTTGACCTTAGAACAAGTACACAGGCCAGTGCAACCTAGCTTTAAGATCAGCTAACTTTTGTACTAGAACCTGTAGCTGATAGTTGGGGTTAGTTTTATTTCAACGCCTGTGAGTTTCAGGTGGCATGGCAAGTAAGAATTACAGCTTTTTTGGCCCTGTTTTGTTTCTTTGTTTAAAGGCTGTAAATGTGATTGCAATTAGCAACATACATGGAAGATTCTTATCATATCCCATTAATTTTCTTCACCGTGCTCTTCAAGTATTCTGGCTGTCCAGAATTTATTTTGCAGCTTCAGTGGTGGTATGGCACTTCATGACTGCAGTTGATACGTGATAACAGCCAGCAGATTTCCGACAGTGTGTCAAGCAAGCTTTTCCTGGAGAATCTGTCTTCCTGGGGTCTAAAATGTTGGCTCTGTGACTCAGGACACTTACAGAACATAAGCCTTTCTTTTCTCTCATACACTTTTAGTTACAGTGAACTTTGAAAGTTTTCTTTGAGAGGGAAATCCGATGCTGTTGGAATAGCTGCAGACAGGAACAGCATGGCACTCTATCTTTCCTGTGGGAAATAAAAAGAAATGTCAGTACAATTCTCCAGGATAAATAGAATTACTATTTAGGTATTGTTTTCCATTGTGTATCTTCTCTCGCCCATTCGAACTTAAAAAGAAACACACCCACATCCACACTGACCCATAAAAAAACCCACTTTCTTTTCTGTTACAGAAAAATGCAAAGGGACAGGAGTTGTTTGACCAGATTGTGTATCATTTGGACCTTGTGGAAACTGATTACTTTGGTCTGCAATTCATGGATGCTTCCCAAGTTACAGTAAGTATAACTTCAGTCAACTTTTACGTTTTGCAGTAATTTGTGTTGCCTGTTATAAAAGTATTACTGGTGCAGTTCCATGGAGAGATGTAGGCATTAGAGGACATACTGCTGAAACAAGTGATACTGTGTTTGGTTCTTGCACATAAAGTGGCATCCTCTAAAGGAGTCTTTTGTTATTTTATATGATGTGCATGTGAGTTACTTGATTGCACTTAAGTAAAAAAGTGATACATTTGGATAAAGAAAAATCTGCTTTATGTTTAGTTGGCTCATGGTATTCAGGATGGGTTGAATCTCTTGCAAGCAAGGGTTTCTTGTAACTCCTATCCTTGCTTTCCATGCACAGATTATGTTGCTTTGTGTGTTTACATTCATTTGCAATAGTGAAAACTTTTCTCTCTCTTCATTATCTAATGGCCTTCAACATCTACAGATAAAATAAATAAATAACCCCCCCCCAATATTTACAGATGCAGGTACATAGATATATTAGTAAGATAGTGTTAAAAGACTACAGCCTTGTGGTTGCACTGTACTGCTGTGTATTTAATCCTTTCGTTTTTCCGTTCACTTTATGTGACCAGGCAGTTTGACAACAACCTGCATTGTGGATAGAGAATATAAGTGGAAAATAAGTGTTTCTTTTTAGTTCTCTCTGACCAGTATGTAAATGCTTTTTCTGTGAAGCAACAGAAGACATGTACTCTGTGATATTAGAATAAAATAATGGGAAAATGTAGCCACAATAGTGACATCTTGGGAAATGTAGATTCTAACTTTATCATCCCAGAGTTCTCAGCTGTATTCTCGAACAGGCTCAGGTCAAATGTGATTGGGATGGATCAATGTTTTAGCAGCTGCACAATCATCTGTATTTTACCAATGACTTTAAACAACAAACAGGAAACCTGTCCAGGTATTATAGTTACTTGATACTGGAAAAAGGGAATCTGTAGTTTTGGGGAGAAGTGGTATTAATCTATTTAAACATTATCCTGATGTCTCAGTTAATTTAGGGCTATGTATTTATCACTGGAAACTGATGCTTTGAATTAAGTATGTTCTTAATAAGTTTGGGATTTTTAGGAAGTTTAGTGTGTGTGTTCCTGATAAAATTTGTTACATAGATTGTGTGTTCTTTTATGATGGACCTAATTATAAGGACACAGTTAATAAAGCAGAGCCTGCTCAAAAGAGGAAAAACACATTATATCATTACTGATTGTCAAGTGATCTAACTGGGAACTTGATAGCTAGGAATAGCTGCCTGGCAAGGAGTTCTGTAATGTTTTGAAAGAAGGGAAGCAGATAGAGAGAGTGAAATATCCTTTCTTAGCAAGAGAGAAGGCAGATCAGAAGCCAAAAACCTGGCTGAGGAAGCAGAGAACACTCATTTTCTTGTATATTTGCAGAACTGAAGGGCTCTTTTTAATGGTAAGAAAGATGAAACAGACATGTGAGCAGCTATGATTTCTGTAGAGAGCTGTATCCCTGGTGTTCAGGGCAAAATATGCCTATATGTGCAAATGTTTTAGCTTTGTTTGTATGCTATTTCTTTCTTCCCTATTAGGGAGGGAAGCGAGTTTCATCTGCCTGGATTTGGAATTAGTTGTCCTTCTCCTAGGATGACTGCCAGAAGGCTAGTGAGCTCATCGTGCCCATGGATATATTGAATCTGACCCTACAGTTTTGACCTGTCTGGCATGGGTGACCCTACCGAAGGCATGTGCCATCGCCAGCGTAGCTCGCAACCACATAGGGGTACACAGGCTTCTTTCCCATTAAAACAGTTAGGGCAAGCCCTTCAATCCCTACTTTTCTGCCACTCATCTATATTCAATCCCAGGGAAATACCCATGAACAACCCTTTGTCCTGACCACACTTTCAAGATGCAGCAAATATATCCAGAACGTACCAAACCTGGGCAGTAGCCGCAGGTGAGCCAAAACCAAACCATTCCAGCCCCCATACCCACCCAGGGCTCAGGTACCTCTTAGGGCCCCAGCCCGGCCGAGACCCCCAACCCCCCAGAAGAACCCACTATCTGCCCTGACCTTATCCTCTCCCCACCGTGTTACCACATATCTTCCCACGCACTGCTCACCTGCGACACTTCATACAGGGCTGTCCTGCCCACCCTCCCGCCACTCCGAGGACCCCCCGGCTCGCCCGACACCCTTCACCTCCCCCAAACCAGACTGGCAAACCTCTGTGTGCTCCGAAGCTCCCCCTCTCCTCTCCCACGAGGGTGCAGTCCCTGCCGGTGAAGCGCCCCTCTCCTTTCCCCCACCAGGGCCCAATCCCATGCCTCCTTTTAAAGCTGTATAAACTATAAAAATACTGAAAGCAAGAAAGGGAGAGACACCAACTGAGATGTTGGAACAAATGTCAGAGGAAGAGAATTTAAACAAACCTATATTAGCACTGAGTGTTCATCTAGCAGTCCTTTGGTTCTCCAGGTAGATCCTGAGTCTTGATTTCCTAAAGAATTATTGTGCTCTAGAACTACTGCAGCTGCCAACAGATGGTCCACATTTACCACTTCTGGGTCTGAGTTTGTGTCTGATATATCATAGTGAGCTACAACTGGAGGTCCATCTGGTATCTCTGCAGTGATTGTCTTGCTGCTCCTTGAAACTTCTTCATCATCGTCTGATGAACTCATGTGCGAGTCACATGTCAGGTCACTATCACTGATACTGCTGTCCTGCAGCAGGTTGTACTTCTTGTGAGCAGCTGCCTCCCATTTCTGTCTCAAGAGCCGGATTCTTTCTTTGTGCTTTTGGCTTCGATGACCCAGTCATCATCACTTTGTATAAGAAGAAAGGAGTTAAATCAGACTGTTCAAATTACCATGGTATCACTCTGCTCTCCATTGCTGGCAAAATCCTGGCAAGAATACTTTTGAACAGACTAATAGCCGCTAGCAGAAGGAATTCTACCTGAAAGCCAATGTGGTTTCAGAGCCAACAGGAGTACCACAGGCATGGTATTTGTTCTCAGACAACTGCAAGAGAAATGTAGGGAACAGAACAAAGGTTTCTATGTAACCTTTGTTGATCTCACCAAGGCTTTTGATACTGTGAGCAAAAAAGGTCTGTGGCAGATTTTGAAACGTTTAGGTTGTCCCCTCAAGCTCCTTAAAATGATCATCTCACTCCATGAGGATCAGCACGGCCAAGTCAGATATGGCAATGCACTTTCCGAGCCCTTTCTAATAACCAGTGGTTTGAAACAAGGCTGCGTTCTCGCACCAACCCTATTCACAATCTTTTTCAGCATGATGCTCCAAAGGGCCACAGCAGACCTCAATGATCAGGACGGTATCTACATTCGATATCGTACTGATGGAAGCCTTTTCAACCTAAGGCAACTGAAGGCCCATACTAAGACTTTAAACCATCTTGTCCGGGAGCTGCTTTATGCTGATGATGCCGCCCTTCTCACCCACACAGAAGCAGCTCTGCAGCGTTTAACATCCTGCTTTGCAGAGACTGCTGAGCTCTTTGGGCTTAAAGAAGACAGAAGTTCTCTATCAACCTGTACCTCAGGAAGTCTTCCATCATCCCCATATCACCATTGGCCAATCAGAGCTCAAATCAGTCCAGCAGTTTAATTACCTAGGTAACCTCATCTCCTCGGACGGTAAGATGGAGAGATAGACAACATGTTAGTAAAGGCATACAGTGCCTTCGGAAAGCTTCATAAAAGAGTTTGGCAAAATAAACACTTGAAGAAAAGTACAAAGATCAGTGTTTACAGAGCCATAGTGCTGTCTACTCTTCTATATGGATCTGAATCATGGGTTATCTACTGCCACCACCTGCGACTCCTAGAACGCTTTCATCAATGCTGTCTCCGTACAATCCTAAACATTCACTGGTCAGATTATGTGACCAATACATCTGTTCTTGAACAAGCAGCAGTCACAAGTATAGAGGCCATGTTGATGAGAACACAGCTGCGCTGGGCAGGGCACGTCTCCAGGATGAAGGACCACCGCCTCCCTAAGATCTTGCTTTATGGTGAACTTGCCACTGGCTGCTGCGAGAGAGGAGCCCTGAAGAGAAGATACAAGGACTCCCTGAAACAACATCTCAGCCTTGGCCATACTGATCAACGTAACTGGTCTACTCTGGCTTCAAGTCGGGAGGTCTGGAGACATACTATCTTTAACACTGCTGATGCTTTTGAGAACGCACGCAGGATCACTCTCGAGGAGAAAAGACAATGCAGAAAGAATTGTGTCTTGCAGAATACACCACCTAAGGAGTCTTTCTGCTGTGCCTTTTGCAACCGGACATGTCTGTCTCGTATTGGCCTTTTTAGCCACAGCGTGCTTGTAACAAATGTAGATAGAGCCCTTCCCAAATCTTCGTTCGCGAAGCCTAGCCATGATTAGGGAGGGAAGTAAATGATGGCATCTACAGTTCCAAATGGGATAAGTGGTATGAACACCTGCTGAGGGGGCCTCAAAAAACCACTGCTGGTTGCAGGACTTGGGTGGTAGGGTTATGGTTTCCTGTATTAAGAGGAGTGTTCAGGGCAGAGTTATTTACCTTTGCTGAAGTGCAAGGCCAAAAGCTCTTCCTTGCCTTTTTTTGGGGGGGGGTGGTGGGGGTTTTTTATACTAGCTTAAGCTGGGCAGAGAGTAGGGCTTAGGCAGTTTCAAGGCACAAGCTTTTATCTTACCCAGCACCCTGTGCAAAAAGGTTCCAAGCACTAACAGACTTCCTTGATCTGTTTTGGACTTGTGACCGGCTCTTTTCATTTGCATGGCAATTAATGCATAGCCTGCATGGCCTTCTGCTTAGTGCCAGCTCAGCCACACAGTGGCAATTGCAGGACTGGGAGATTAAAGTTGTGTAAACTCTTTGAGTCACTAAGCCTTTGTCTTTAGTATGTATTGTTAAGTGCTAAACATCTTTAAGCCTTATAAATAAGGGAGCACAAAATAGTCTTTGAATAGTGGAGATTGCTTCTATGTGCTACAAGG